GAAAGAAAGAGTGAAGTAGAAAGCATAGCCCTGGCCCCAGCCCAGAGAACACCACTAAGAAAGAATCATCATCATGGGGGAAAATGTCTAGGACTATTGTTTGGGAGGACACAGAAATGGGGTGATAAATCAGGACTGCTCTGAGAATGAACTAGGAAAACCTCACCATCCCCCATCCCTCACCCCCTTCTACATTGCTGAACTCTGGGCACTTGGGAGGAAAGTTGGCATTAACTCTGCCTTCAAACAGGGTGTCTCAAGTTCTTTCAAAAAGGCCAAGCTGAGCTCTCTGCTAAATTTAGCCCATTGGAGCTCATTCGCGTGTATGGATTTATGGTGCTCTGCATCTGCTTTCGAGTGGCATTTTAAAACATTCACTTGCTTACTATCAGCTGTCAATTTAAAGCACTAACTGACATTGTTCAAGGTCCCAGCTGTGGATCCAGCTGTGTTCCTAGCAATGGTATCCTTGGAGAAAGGATTCTAGTCTTTGGTCAAATGTATAAGCATCAAGCGTGCTGATACCCAAAGTTCCACCTGTCAAAGCTTCAGGCTTTTGGATCAAGCTTCTATTTCTAGTTTAAATACATCTCGTTGCCTCCTCGGAGGCATTATCAGACACTGACACCTTAGTGAACATAAAGGTTCTGAAAGCAGATTCTAGAGCCGGCAGGGGGCATCATCTGAATTTTCTAGGAGAGGAGACCGTGCCGCGTCGCCCAGGGGACCCGTCATAATTTAGAACCAGCCTTGTCTCTACCTCAAGTCATAGAACCATAGATTTGGAGCAAGGTGGAGCCTCAGAAACCATCTAGCCCAACCCCCTAATTTTCCAGATAGGAAAGCTGAGGCTCCAGCCATTTGGACAGGCCCTGCTTACCGCAGTACCACGAAGCCTCCAGCTTTCTTTCAGCCCAAGCTCTAGTCCTGTGCTTCCAACTTCCTACCCATTCATTTGAATATTATAACATCTTCCACTAAAGGCAGCCAGGTGGAGCAGTAGATAGAGCGTTGGGCTTGAAGTCAGGAAAACCCGAGTTCAAATCCTGCCTTAGACACTTACTTAGCTCTATGACCCATGGTGGGTCACCCAACCTCTCCCAGCTTCTGTTTCCTCACCTGTAAAATAACAACATAGTAATAGCACCTTCCTTCCAGGGCTGTTTGATTTATAAATCAGTTTTAGCAGTATAGGATCTACGCCAAGAACACAACACCAATTCAACTTTAGGAAAAGAGTCCAAAATTCACCAAATACTGATGGAAACCACCTACTGTGTGCCAGGCATTCTGCTAGGCACTGGAGATACAGCAACAAAACTGAACCATGTCTGCCCTGGGGAGCTTCCGTTATCAGGTTATGAGCCAACATCTATTGCACAAAGACCGTAAGGACGTGAAGGCACTCCACAAGGAAACTGACAGGAGCCTCCAGACCAAAGTAAGATACGCTTTCATAGCGGGAGACTTTGAAGCAAGCATAGATATGGGAGATGATAGTAAAAAAGATATCAGAAAACAGGATTTGGAATTAAGAAAAGAAGAAGGCCAAGGGATAGTAGATAATTCAGTAGCCTCACACGTGTAGGTCATGAATGAATACGAGAATAAACAGGTGCCAGGGTGAGCTCCAAACATCACACAAAATTGAACCGGGCTCCAGGAAGTGGCTGGTTACAACAATGGGAACCATTTCAGAGTCAGGGGTCTCTATACAGCCAGACCATTAAAGAGTGAGCGAAAAGGTAAAAATAAACACCAAATCAGGGTTAGTATAAAGATGAAAAACACCTCAAATTTTTGCTGCTCCCGTATAGCCTCCTTAAACAAGCTGTGGAGTCTAAAAAATGGAAAAAGAATAAAAGGAGATCGATTGAGAATCACCATTTCTTAGAGACATTTACGCAGTTTATCACTGTCCTCCTTAAACTGTGATGCTCAGGACGATGCTCACAGTACTCTTACGTAAGTCTGACTAAGCAAGCCATCACCACCCTGAACTTGTAAGGTTGAGTTTTTGAAACCCAAGTAAAAGCCTTTTTTATTTAATTAAGTTGATGCTAATATAATAAATTTCCATTTATTCCTATTAAGTTTTATCGCATTAAATTCAGCCCAATACTCTAACCTATCACTATGGATATTGACTCCATCACTCAGTGTGTTAACTAATCTTCCCATCTTTTGCTGCAGGACATGGGGAATACCTCTCTAAAGGCATGACCCAGAACCCTCCATTGCCTCGAGAGTCCAAATACTGTACTATGAGTCACAAATATTAAAAGACCAAAAGGAAGGCATTGGACTAGAATCACATAACATGGAAAGCATGGATAAGTTGCTATTTGCACCAGTAAAAAGGAGTTTCAAAATGAATCCACTGAAGTGCTAATGTTCATCAAGAATTATCAGACCGGTTAATGCACAAAAGGCCATTGGCAAGCTATCCCACCAATTCATGACAAAAACACTAAAAACTAGAGGAAAAGAAAGATCCTTTTTCAACACAATAAAAAAATATCCTTTCAATATTAGCACCAACAAAATGGAAACAATGAATAAATTCAGTAAAATTTCAGTATACAAAGTAAACTCATAAAAATGTGTCTTTTTATATGCTACTAATAAAGAGTGAGAACTTTTTTTAAAAAATTCAGCTAGCTCATGGAACAAAACATTTAAGAAGAAAAAAAATTAAGGAAAAATGGAATAATGCATTTATGTAGATTGTGGAGGGCAAACATATTTGTATTTAATAAACAAATATAGTAAGTTATTGGTAGGTAGGTTCAATTACAAATTTGTCCAAAATACAATCAAGACAAAAAGGAAAATAACAGGTTGGGGATGAAATTTGAAATAAATTAAATGAACGAGAACTTACCAATTAAAATTAATTAACTTTTCTAACAAAACCTACAGCCTTGGATAAAAGGATCAGTGAGTTTGTCACGACTTTAGAGCTAAGTCCTAAGGACTTATCCAAAGGGTAAAGGGACTTGCTCAGAGTCATATAACTATCAAGTTTCAGATTGGCAGGATTTGAACACTAGTCTTCTAGACTCCAAGGCCAACATTCTATCCACTTTACCTATAAAAATTGGTGGATATGGGCAGAGAATGTTCAAAAGAAGATAGGCATATCTGTAACATTTTCTTGAAAAAAAAGTCCAGATTCATAGAATTGCAGAACTAAGAGTTGGAAGGGACCTTATCAATGCTGTTGTTCAACATATACGCTAAAGGAATCTTCATGGTAACATATCCAACAAGTGATCCTTCAGCCCCAAGATCTCCAAGGAGCTAGAACCCACAACCTTGTAACTTTGGGACAACTCAGCTGGTTATAATTTTTTTCTAACATTATGCCTAAATGGGTTTCTTTTGCTCACGGTTCTGGTTCTGACCTCTAGGGACATATAGAACAAGTCCAATCTCTGCCAGACACAACAACCCTATAAATATTTGCATTGAGCTATCTGTCGCCCCCGAGTCTTCTTTTCTCCAGTTGAACCATGCCAGGTTCAATCAACTGATTCTCTTATGTCCTGGGGTCAAGGCCCTTCTCCATCCTGGTGGCCCTCCTCTGGACCTTTTCCAGTTTGTCAATGTCCTTCCTAAACCATGATGCCTAGAAAATGAACATGAGACTGCAGATGAGGTCTGATGAGGGCAGAGCATGATAGAACCATCCCCTCTGTATTCCTGGAGGCTGAATGACTCTTTATGCAGCCCAGGATTACATTAGCTATTGCTGACTCATATTAAATATGAAGACCACTAAACCTGTCGATCCTTTTCAGAAAAATGAGTGTCTATCTATGCCTTCCCTGTATTATATTTGAGGTTTCTATTTTAACCAATTAAAGACTTTACATTTATTTCTACTGAATTTCATCTTGTTGGATTCATTCCAATGCTCTAGTCTGCCAAAATCCTCTTGGATCCTAACTCCCATCCATAGTGTAACTATTGCTCACAGTTTTGTGTCATCTACAAATCCAATGAGCATCCCATCTAGACCTTGATGAAAGTCATTAATAAAACTGCTAAATAGAAAGGGCTGATAATAGATCCTGGGATACCACCTTGGAGACCTTCTGCCATGTTGGAAAATGTCCAATCTCAATCAGAAAAGTGAAAATTAAGACAACTCTAAGGGACTTCATACTCATCATAATGGCAAAAATTTTATATATATATGAGAAAAAATTCTAGACAGATTGTGGTGAAATAAGCACACATACTAGCGAAATTACAGTCATTTGAAGAGCAATCTGGCAGTGCACAGAGTTCACAAAAATAATCATACTTACCTTTTATTCCAATAACTCCATTATTGGGAATATATAATTAAAACATTTATATATTAAAATTAAAAGTGTAAAAGGAAAATATCGATATGTTCAAAAACAGATATAGAAGCATCGTTTGTAATTACAAATGGCTGGAAATAATCTACATGTCCAATGGTTGGTGAGTGGCTAAATGACCTATGGCATGTTAATGTAATAGTACAATGCAATTAAAATGATAAAAATAACAAATATGAAGAAACTTGGAAAAACTTGTAAAGTAATGAGAAGCAAAGAAAAATAGAGCCAAGAGTAGTATATAAGCCGACAGCTACACAGAAGGAAAAATGTCTGCACAAAATTAGGTACGAATGGAAAATGCAGAATGTGTCAAAGATAGAATAACTAAGTGGCAGTGACAATTTTGTATGTAGAAGTTGATTTTTAATTAAAAATAGTTGTAGAAAAACAAATATCAAACTGGTTTTGTTATTCCTTAAGATTAAAGGCATGCTAAACTTTCTTTGAATGGCTAGGAAGTATTTATCTTGGCTATGATAGGTCCATTGGGTTCTTAAATGATTTTGATATATGTGCCATGTGCTAAATTCAAAAATTACTTTCTTACATTGCTTATATAGCACCAGAGTTCAATGAAAAGAATAAGAGCACAATTATGATGCCCATTTTCTTATTTGTATTGACCTTCATATTTACTGTTTCCTTCTTCTATAGCTGGGATGAAGAGACTGGGTGCCATTTTCCATCTTTCTTCTTCTTCATTCTGCAAAGAAGAGTGTATGCCTTAATGGTAGGGAGGGTTGATCTGTTGCAATGAAGAGGAAAATGTAGGACCCCCAACAGTTCGGTGGTGTTATTGATATCTTGTACAAATCACCATCAATCCCTTGCTTCCCTTCCCACAAACCATTGGCTGGTGCCAGAGGAGACACTGTTTAGTCATACAATTTGTATGCCTTCCACAGGAATGTTTAGATGTGTCCACCTTAGACACTTCCTGGCTATGTGACTATGGACGAATCACTTAACTACTGCCTCCCTCAGTTTCCCCGTCTATAAAGTGGAGATGATAATAGCACTTACTTCCCATGGTTGTTAGGAAAATAAAGTGAGAGATTAATTGTAAAGTTGTTCACTCACTGTAAAGTGCTATATAAATACTAGCTATTGTTACTATTTTTATGAGATGGTAAGTTCCATGAGGGCAGAGAACACTTCCTAGCTAAGCCTTGCATTTCCCCTGGGATCTAGCATAGTGCCCTACACACAGCAGGCAATTCATAAACTTGTTGAACTGAACTGGTAACAGGAGTGACCATAGCTGCATCAGCCTGGGTGCCCCCTGGGACTCTGGCGTATTGTGAACACTGAATACCTTACGATGCTTGCATCTGATTTTGGGCCATATTTGTGTTCTGAGTGTACTGATGCTGATCTCAGTGACCTCCCAGATAACATATACTTTGAGGATTTATGTGCAGTGAACTGCTTAATAAAACATGCATTTAAGTCTACCTATATGCATTTAAATACATATGAAAATAGTCACATTGTTCTTTCTGTTTAATATTTTATTCTAGGCATTTGCCCCATTGGAACTCAGGTCAAATGGTTTGACATACTCCAGGAAAAAAAAAATCACCCTTAGCCCAATTTCCTCTATGGCTTACACATGGACAAAAATGAAGGGCAGTTCTCATGGAACTTTTATTTCCTCAAAAATAACTGTGCCATTAGTCAGTTGTTGAGGGACGTGGTTGGGAGAGTTTTAGATTAGTAGGTAGGTATGTGTCAAAACTGCAGTTGCTGGACCTTCCCGGGGCTTGGCTCCTACCTGCTCCTATTCAAATTCCAATGTCAGCACCATCACTCAGCAGCTTCCAGAGAAGGGGATATTCCCACCCTGCAGGATTTTCAGTCTTTAGGAAAATGCCAAAGCAGAGAGAGGGAAAAAATAAAACTAGAGGCTTGTTATTCCCCATGGAAAATGGAAGTGGAAATGGAAGCTTTCTTTCCCATAGATCAGGGCATGAACTTCCTACAGATACATTTTAAAATGCCTGCTTTTGGCATGGAATTAAACTTGAATTGAATTTGAACACATCTGCTGTATCTCACTCCTGACCCACTTAATTCATTAATCAGGGACTTCAGAGACCCCTGAGTCCAGCCCCCTCATTTGACAGGTGAGGAAACGGAAGCACAGAATGTTTAAGTGACCTGGTTAGTGAAAATCCCACCTGCTTCAGGAAGCCTTTCCAATTCCCTTTAATGCTAGTGCTTCCCCCCTGAAATTATTTCTAATTTACCTATCCATATGCTGTTCATACATGGTTCTTTATATATTGCCTCCACCCCCACTCCATTAGACTGCTAGACCCTTGAGAGTGGGGATTGTAGTTTGACTTTATATCCCCATGATTTAGCACAGTGACTGACACATAGTAGGCGCTTAACCTTTTGACTTGACAGAGCTAGGAATTGTCTGAGGCAGGAACAGGACCTAAGTCTTCCTGACTCTGGGTCCAGTGTTCTAGGAGAAGGGAAAAGGAATCCACATCAAGTACTTACTATGTGCTGGGCACTATGCTAAACATTTTTTAATATTTTCTCCTTTGATCCTCATATCTGGGGAGGCAGGTGTTATTATCACCTGTTGTTATTGTTCAATTGAGGAAACTGAAGCAGGCAGAGTTTAAGTGACTTACCCAGGGTCACATAACTATTCTACCACAAATTGTTACCTTTACATTTTTGTCTTTGGATCTGTTCTCCAAAATGCTACCCTGACCCCCGAACATGAGACAAACTGTAACCACCTATGGGATTGACCGTTCATGTTTTCAATGCCGCTGGTCCCAGCGTGATGTGGTGGGGGAAAGTACTTGATTTAGAGTCAGAAAAATCAGGGTCTGAATTGTGTCTCCGCCACTTGTCAACATGGGGGATCTTGGGCTCTCTCTGGTTGCTTATCTGTCTAAGGTCCCTTCCAGTCTGAAAATCTGGGGATCCCTGGATTTTTCAGAGATGCGACAAGTTAGCTGTTGAATAGAACAGGAAACAAATGAAGAAGCAGTGGGTGAAGACAGACACTCGAGGCAGAAGGGCTGAGCTTTCACAGGGATTGGGGATCGCTTTCCCTTGGGGCCACAAGGAAGAGTGAATGGATTACGATGCTGAGAAGTATTTGAGGAGCAGAACGAGGGAGCTGTGCTAGATGGGTTCAGGATCATGGCTTGTAAGGATGGGGTTGGAATTGGGGTGAACAGCCTGGGGGGCTTAGGAACATAGTCCTCAGGCACCATCTAATTTAACCTGCTCATTTTACAGATGGCAAAACTGAGGACCAAGGAAGCTAATTGACCTCTCCAAGGTCACACAAGTGGGACTTTAACCTTGTCCTCCAGCTGCAGAGTTAGTTCAGTTCCATTAGACCAGTGACCATACCTTGGCCCTGTCCCAGTAGAGGAGTACCTCCCATGGCCTGCTCCATTCTTCCCCTTGCTTCCCATCCCTTTTCTCGCCAGCAGTCGTGATGTGTGTATTCCCTGATGTGTACCGTGGGCCACACCACTTACCCAGATTGCAGGATTTGAACTCAGGTCTTGCTGACTTCAAGCCCACCATTTTATCCCCTACACCATACGGTCCTTCAGCCTTAGAGTTCAGAATATTGCCCGGTAAGTGTTTGTGTAGGGAAAAGGGTAGCGAAGACATACAATGTTTATTTGAGAAGTTAAATTGTTTTCTGTGATTTTCTAGTTCAACCTACAGACATATGATTAACACTAAGGTGGCTGATGAACTTTTAATAACTTTTTGTGAGTGACTCTCAAAGCATTCGATCTCCTTGATGTATCTGCTTTCTGACATGGCCCTGGCTATTTCTTCATTCAAAGCTTAGAGCAGCCTTGCCCAGGAGGGCTCTCAGTTAACTGAGCTTCAGACTGGACGCTGCCACACCACAGGCACCCCTGAGAATTAGGGCAATGGATAGTACTGAAAGACAGAGGTTTGCCATTCCAAAGCCCCTTATCTTCAGACTCCCAGTAAAAGGAAAATATTTTGACACTCTCAGAAATCACTTTTGAAGATTTTAAGAGAAAATCAAGTAGTAGCGAAAGCTTCAGTGTGTGTGTGTGTGTGTGTGTGTGTGTTGGGGTGGTGATGCCAGGTTAAGTAACTGGAGCCAAGCACAGGCTTGATAAGTTATACCAATAACATTTTTAAAAGATAAAAATTAACGTTGAGGGCACAGATTCAAAGAGATGCTGCCCCAAGACAGCTGGGTGGGGTGGAGGTGGGGAATGGAGCCCAAAGTGGTGAGATGTGGGTGTGTGAACGTGCTAGGAGGAAGGAGGACGACTCTGGGTGGATTCTCTTGGGGCCTCAGATCATCTTGAGCTTGGGCTGGGGACAGGACCCCCTTCCCCTTTCCTTCCTGACTCACCTTAAATCAGCTCCCAAGGTGGGGCCTGGGACACTAGTTCCCATTGCCCAAACCCCAGGGAAGTATTCCCCAAGTACTTTTTTTTAAGCAATTGGGGTTAAGTGACTTGCCCAGGGTCACATAGCTAGTAAGTATCAAGTGTTTGGTCTGAGGTCGGATTTGAACTCAGGTCCTCCTGACTTCAGGGCCGGTGCTCTATCCACTGTGCCACCGAGCTGCCCCATCCCTAAGCACTTCTGAAACCTGTTCTGTGTGTCGGCCCAGATTCCCCCTTCCTCAGTCGATGATGCCCACAGAAAACTTTGAATTTATATTTTTTAATCACTAGTCATTTTAATAAGTGTCACTCATAATATTCTAATTTCTTTAGCATTTTTCAGAACCATCTTTGGCTTCTTACAGTACTAATTAAACTCTGGTTTTTTGTGCCTGTTATTTTTCATAAATTATTGAAGCCTTTCCACTGATGTGAAGTTTGGGGAAAAGATTTACTCAATTTAGATCAAGGCTGCAGAGATCACTTGAACCTTGTCAGGAAACATTTCAGGGCAGTGCTGGATTCCAAACCTGCTTCTGCCACGTACTCCCGATGTGAGTGGTGGAAGCTGGTGAGTCTCCCTCAGCCTTGGTTTTCACATCTTTGAAGTGAGGGATGGCTTGGACGTCCTCTGATGTCCCTTCCAGTTTTAAAGCTCTTATCCTATGACCCTGTCATTTCACTTACCTGTGACTTAGTTTCTTCATCTGTAAAATGGGGGGGTCTTGACCGAGTTGTCATCTGAGGTCCATTACAGTGCCAGCTCTAGGATCCCATGTGTGACTCTGGGCAAGTCACTTTACTTGCCTCAGTTTCCTCATCTATAAAATGAGGGGTTGAAGTAACTGGCCTCTAGGGGCCCTTCAATTGTGCCAGAAACAATTGTGCAGGAATTCTATCTCCTACCCCCACCCTCTGCCTAACAGCCGTGCCTCTACGTGAAATGGTTTTCTTCCGCACCATCAGTGCCTCAGAGTTTCTGGCTTGCTTTAAGATGCAGCTCTAACCCTGTCTTCTGCGGGAGGCCTTTCTTCAGCCCCTTCTGTTGCTCTAAGCTTCCCTTCCATCTCGTCTGTATCTTTATAATTGTGTTCTCTCAATAGAGTGTAAGCACCTCGAGGGCAGGGGATATTTTTGCCTTTATTAGCACAGGTGTCCCCCACATTCCAAATGCTTAATCAATACTTGTTGATTGAGTGACTGATTTCTTGTAAACGGATATCAAAAAAAGCCAGCAGGATTCCGTCAAAGACAGAGCATGCCAGGCTCATTTCATACCCTTTTGTGACAGGGTTACTAGACTCCAGTGGATCTTCTTGCATCCCCTTTGCTCAGAAATGTAGTTTAGCCTTCAAAAGGAAACTCAAAACACCTGAATCCAATTCCGTTGCTCTAGATATGAGTAAAACATTTGAAAAAAAGTCTCTTGAGAAGATGGAAAGATGTGGGCTAGAAAATGGCAGCCTTCGATGAGTCAGGACCTGGTTACACGGCAAGACCCAAAGAGTAGTTGTTAATCATTTCAACTTGGAAGAAGGTCTCTAAGTGTTCTCCAGGGAGCTGCTCTTGGTTCCATCTGATATTTTGATCATGAGAAGTCAAGTCATATATGGTCTGTCTATCGAATTTGAAGGTGATGAAAAGTGAAGGGAGATAACGAATATGCTGGATGATGGAATCAGATGCCCCAAAAAACCCTAGAACATCAGGTTGAACCTAAGACAATGAAATGTAACCAGGATAAGTGTAAAGTCTTACACTTGGGCTCAAAAAATCAACTTCATGAGGATAAAAGAGGGGCGGCTGGGCCAGAGAGCTATTTGTCTGAAAAATAACCCAGAGGTTTGTATACCTGCAAGGTCCCCAGAAGTCAGTGATGTAGTATGGTAGCTGAGTCAAGTACAGTATCCTCTGCTCCTGGTCAGGCCATATCGGCAGTACTGTTCTGGGTACCCCATTTCAAAAGGAACAATGATGAGCTGGGGAGCATTAAGAGGTGGGCACCCAAGATAACAAGAACAATAACAATGCTTAACACTTATATAGCACTTTAAAGTTTGAAAGGGCTTTACAAAATACTATCTCGTTTTATCCTTAGCAATCCTGCAACGTAGGTGATGAAGACTCTCAAAATGTAGACAATAAATGTCCCATGACACATGAGGTCTATTAAAAGAACTGGGGATATTTAGCCTGGCAAAGAGAAAACTCAGAGGAGTCCTGAATGTTGCCTCCAAGTATGTGAATGGCTGTTGTGTGGAAAAGGGATTCCACTGGTTCTGCTCCGCTCCAAAGGCAGAGTTGAGTTGGACAGAGGCAGTTCTCAACTCAATGGAAGGGAAAGGATTTCCACTCACTGGAGTTACTCAAGCAGATTTTGGATGCCTCCGGCTGGTCTGGAACAGAAAGGATTCCTGTTTAGGTCGGGCTGGTCTGCATGGCCTCGGAGGCTCCTTCCAAGTCTGAGTTTCCAAGATTCTGTGAAATTCACTTTATTTCTCAGAACTTGGGCAGAATGAATCGCAGACTGAACCCACTGTTTGCACACACTGAGGGCTTTCCAGGGCTTCAGCGCCAGGGATGTGGGATGGATCAAGATGGAGGGCAGGCTCTGCTCCGACGAGATGGAGCAGTTCTGCCTCTTTATCCATATCCATTATCCAGGGCAGGAAATGGCAAGAAAAATGTGGATAATGAGAAATGAGAACATTTAGCATTTTGTTATCGCTGACAGCAATACAATGATGAATTTGGGGAAGTCATTCCAAGCTCTGAGATTTATGGGGCAGTTTCCAGCAGGCATTTCCAAGTGCTTTTAAGATTCTTAACGAATACAGTTGTTCACAATTGACTTCAACATGCTTTAAAAAATGCCTAGCATAAGATCAGAAGGTTTTAGTGCTAGAAGGGAAGGTGGCAATTGTTCAGTCTCCTTAGCTCGGCCGTTTAAGGGCCGACACATGTGGCCTGACACCCTTTCTGGCTGCTTTTCACAAACTCCATCTCAGGCCAATTAAGTGGCTTCACATGCCCAGAACGTGGCCACCCGGCCTCTCCTCAGCGCCTCCCCCGCCCCCCCCCCAGAGCACTCACGGAGCTCACGTCAATTCTGAACATTCCGTTCAACCTAACCCAACAAGAAGCATTTACTGAGCAACTTCTACATTCCTGGCCCTGGGCTGCACACTGGAGATATGATGATGAGAAACTGAAACCATCCCTGCCCTCCAGGTGCTTCTATTCCTCAAGCTATTCCCCAAGCCTGCAATTCACTTTCTCTTCATCCCCTGTCCTGCCAATGCTCATTTTCCTTCAAGGCTTAACTCAGGCAGAGAGGCTGATTCTACCTGCCTCCAGGCCTAACGCCTCTGGGGAGCTTTCCTGACCCCACATTCTCAAGGTTCTCTCTTTAGTCTATTTTTCTGGTACCAGGTATATTTGGGTCCTCCCAGCACAGCATACATTCCTTCCTTCCCTCTTTCTTTCCTTCCTTCCTCCCTTCCTTCCTCTTTCCTCCCTCCTTTCCTTTCCTTTCCTTTCCTTTCCTTTCCTTTCCTTTCCTTTC